CAGCCGGCAGCACCGCCCACACGGTCTCTTCCTGTCCCGGGCGAAAAGGATGCACCACCGGCTGCCTTGGAGAGGGGGACAGGAAGAAACCACCGAGACAGCGAGGAGAGGGGTGAAAAGCCATAGCAGCAGCAAAAAGAGGTAGTGGTCTGAGTCTGTTTCGTGTGTAAGGCTGGACTCTTGAGTTCCATTGGGGGGGGCATGCAAATGGATGGGAAAGAGCCTGCTTCAGTGCACTGGAAGAAGGAAGGAGGGCTATACGGATTTTCAGCTTTGCAATTGAACTGAAGCTGAGACCAAAGACCTCGCTGACACAGAGAAAACTGCGGACTCTGCTTCTACTTCTGACAAATTATTAATCAGTGCTTGGTTTAAATAAGAATTGAGCAACCACGTGTTAGCTGAAGCCAAGGATAATCACACACCACTGCGATAATAACAGGTTTATGAAAGAAAGTGCAGCCAGTGTAACAAGTCCTTATATCAAGTCATATAAGCACAGGTCTTTTATTTCACAAAGCAGCCGGGTTCTAAACACATCACACCCTAATCCTATGCTTGCAAGAAACCTCACTGGCCTCAACGATGATTTGCTTCTAAATAAGCTTCATTAAAAGTGGGCAAAAAGACCTTGGGTTCTCTAGAAGGAGTAAAGTGGCCCTTATCTTTTGGGTGTTATTAATACAGTTATTGGCTGTTGGGGGGGGGGGGGCATACAGAAATATAGAAGTACTTCAGAGGGTTGTTCATTTCCCAGAGCAAGGAAAATATGGGAGCCCTAAGCACTGGTTTATAGCTTATTGTTTTAGTCACCAGAGTTATCGCAGCTGAGAGTTGTGTTTCCTTTTCCAGTTGTCAGCTAAGCCCTGATCTATTTCCCCTTGCATGAAGCCTCTGTTTGCTCAGCTTCAACTGGGAGAAGAAGACTTGGTTTTACTACTACTGATTTTTCTGGAATTTACTTCCAATCAATGTGTTTAGGATCAGGGTTTCAGCACTATTGTGCCCCAGCCACTGAATACTTCTTAGGACCCAATCCCTGTTTCACCCTCTACTGTGCTGTTTACAGTGGCGACTGATCCTTGCTTTTCCACAAACAGTGTGTATGTTCAGCTTCCAATTAATACAATGAGGAAAATCCCTAAAACTGTCCAGGACTAAGGAGAAACAAGAGTTGCCCTTGCACCGGGGGCTAGTGGATATGTTTGGAGCAGTTTCCCAGTATGAGGTATCTAAGTGCTTCCTTCCTTTTCCAGGATTGTCGGAGTGGTGCCCTGCCTTCTCAGACTTTGAGGTGCCTACAACATTCATGTAGCCACATCAAGTCACTGTAATGATGGATGCACTGTGAATTGATGTTTCCCCACATAAAATACAAAAATGTACAGCATCAGAAGAAATTTCCCAGATAATGCTAAAACAACATAGCAGAAAATGTGTATATTTTTCCAGGGGTCCCCAATTGTGATGCGCTTATAAGTACTTTTGGGTCAAATGGTTGCCACTAGGTGCTAATCCCAACATGTTGGGAGGGTCTAAGATGGAGGCAGCAGCTTCTGAATAAGTGCTCCCTGCTAGGGTTGCCAGGTCTAACTTGGCAAATTCCTGGAGATTTGTGGGTGGTGCTTGGGCAGGGTGGAATTTGGAGAGGGGAGGGAGCTCAGCAGGGATGTAACAGAGTCCACTCTCTGAGGCTGCCATTTCCTTCAAGGGACCTGATCTCTGTAGTCTAGAGATCAGCTATAATTCTGGAAGAACTTAGGGAGGATTTTGTGGATTTGAATTACAAATTTATAAGTTTAAGGCTGTTAAAAACCTTAGGAAATTCTGTGGAAATGGCGGCCTGGACAGGAGCATTTTTAAAGGCTCCAGATGTGTCTCACTGAGGATAGAGAGAATTTATTCCTCTATACCCACCTCTCCCCCCACGGGACATCCAACTGACAGGTGAATCCTCGGAGGAGGTCTGATTTACAGAGGCTCCACTAGGGTTCTGATAACATCAATATCAGCAGTCTGGAACAGTTATTAATTTTGGAAGATTAGCAGACTCCTAGGGTTCCCAGGTCCCAGCAGGGGTTCCCCCGCTTTTGGGGGCTCTTACAATCTTCTTTCCCTTCCCCTCCCCACAATAGACACCCTGTTAGGTAGATGCAGCTGAGAGAATTCTGAGAGAACTGTGACTGACCTGAGGTCACCCAGCTGGCTTCATGTGGAGGAGTGGGGAATCAAATCTGGCTCTCCAGATTAGAGCCCACTGCTCTTAACCACTATACCACACTAGCTCAATTTATCAGTGCTCTCTCAGGATTATACAAGAAGTCTGCCTCAGAAAAAGGAATAAGAGAATATTTCAAAGACATCCTGACCACAAAGTTCACACCAGAACACAGAAAAAAATTAAATCAAACAATAACAATTCAAGAAATCTCCCAGGCCAAAATTTTTTGAAAAACAGTAAAGCTCCAGGCCTGGATGGGCTAACAGCAATGTATTATTTTGAAGAAGTCTTAATGATACTTTTACAAAAAGTAATGAATGAGATAAAAGAAGGAAAGACAATACCTCTGATGTGGCAAGAGGCATATATAACGTTAATAAAGAAGGCAGTGATGCAGTGCTACCACAGTCATATAGGTCTATTTCTCTGCTGAATGTAGATTACAAAATCTTTGCTACAGTATTGTCAGAAAGATTACAAAATGTATACCAAAATTAATACACACTGATCAAACAGGCTTTGTACCAAAGAGATATATATATGAAAGATAATATACGATTTATAATGGACACAATCAAACTTGTGAACAAGAAGAGAAAGAAAGCAGCATTTTTATTTTTTGAATGCAGAAAAAGCATTTGACAATTTAATATGACCTTTTTAATTGAATGTACTTAAAAATTTAAACTGTGGCCCTGAATTCTGGAACTGGAGGCAAGGTATATATTCGAACCAACAAGCAAAGTTTTTAATAAATGGGAAATTAACAGAGACAATCTCAATAGAAAAAGGAACATGCCAGGGATGTCCTTAGTCACCTCTACTATTTATCCTAGCATTAGAGACTTTAGCTACAAGGATCAGAGAAGACACTAGGATTAAAGGAATAAAAGTGAATGATATAGAACTTAAAAAGAAAAGCTATGCAGATCATGTTGTTCTGACAGTCATGGATCCCCCAAAATCACTACAGTATGTAATGGAACATATTGAAGAATTTGGATCATTTTCAAGATACAAAATCAATAGGAAAAAAAAGACAAAAATGATAATGAAATTTTTAACACAACAACAACAAGATGTTATAAAGTGTACAGAATGCACAGTAACCAATGGCCCCATCAGATATTTCAGGTATGTCCAACAGGTAGATTGCAATCTACCAGTAGATCGCGGAGGGGTCAGAGGTAGATCACCAGCCCCACTTGGTCTCCTGGTTTGCTGGACAGGTGTTTGGGGTTTTTTTTAATGATTGTTTGGTGGTATTTGATTATTGGTGCCAGTATGATGAATTTTGCTTACCAGTAAATGACAGAAGGTGCATTATAAATGGGGGGGGGGGCAGTGGAACCCAACTTTAGTGGGTTAAAATCTAATTTGAAAGTAATTTGAAACTTTATTTTCATGGTGGTAGATCACCGGCACTTTTGGCCAGAAAAAATAGATCATTACCTCTTTGAAGTTGGACATGCCTGAAATATTTGGGAATAAATGTTACTGGGCAAAATTGTAATATTCTCAAAAATAATTACCAGAAGATCTGGAAAATGATACAGACAGATTTATCTAGATGGAAAAAATTAAAAATGTCATGGCTGAGAAGAATCTCTGCAATCAAAATGAATGTACTGCCAAAACTAAATTTCTTATTTCAAATGTTATCTATATATATAGAAGAAAGAACACTGAAAGAGTGGCAGAGACAGATAAACAAATTTATTTGGAATGGTAAGAAACCAAGAGTAAGCTTTAAAATATTGCAAGATGAGAAACAGAGAGGAGCATTAGCAGTTCCAAATATAAAATTATATTATCAAGCAGCAGGCCTGGTCTGGATTATGGATTGGATTAAAAACCCAAGACAAAGAACAGTAAAACTTGAACTAGAAGATTTGGCACTCAGAGCCAGTCTTGAATACTAGGGAATATGAGGAAAGAGTTTCAAGGTTATACCTTCACACACCTGGGCCCCAGCACCTATTGCTTTCAAAGTAAAGCACTGAGGAGTTATAAACAAGGGCAAGGCCCAGGTTCTTTTGCTATTTGCAGGGGCAAAAATAAACACAGTGTGATGTTAGGGATACTAAAATGTTTTGTAATCTGTTCTCATTAGTTTGTGTACAGAGGTAAAAGTATTGGCAGCAGGAGGGAAAAAACAGGATTATGCCTGGAGGGAGAATCAATTAAGTGAATAGCCTTGGAGATCAGGGAAAACAAGAAAGTCAAGGTAGACTCTTTATAGAACAGCTTAATTTGTAAAATGATACTTATGGCTGACATTTTAAAATAGAAATAGGGAGAGAGAGTAGAGAACACTTTTTAAGGAGGTTAATAGAAATAGCCTTGGAGATCAGGGAAAACAAGAAAGTCAAGGTAGACTCTTTATAGAACAGCTTAATTTGTAAAATGATACTTATGGCTGACATTTTTAAATAGAAATAGGGAGAGAACACTTTTTAAGGAGGTTAATAGACAATTCTGCTTCAGCTGGTACAGGATATTTTCAGTTGGAATAGGCTATTTATAACTCAGTATGGAAACAGTTGTCCCTTTTCTCAAAGCAAAACCCAGCTCACCTGTCACCCATTTCAAGTGATACGGTTAATAACCCCAAAGAAACTCAACAAATGAGATAAACAACAATGTTCCAGCAGTAAAGTAGAATGTAGTGAAGTGTCTCTGTAACAGTCTCACAATTTTATCATGATAACATCACTCTATGCATACAGAAAAAAATCTACCACTTGGCAGTTGAATTAGTTTTAGAAGAAACACATACCTCTTCCTCTGCTGGCTCCATTTGTAAACCAAGAATTGTGATCACACAAATACTACTTTTAGAAAATCTAAGGAAGCGTTAAAATAGCTCTGCTTTCTTTATGAAAGTTCCCGATCTTGCGAGACATGTTTCCAGTGGACAAGAGATCCTATTCTGATGTTTATGCAATGGGGGGTGGGGAAGGGAGGTTAATGACAGGCGACTCTTCTTACACTAGTCCCACACCCCTTGTGATACATAAGTTAATTACACACAGCAGGTATATGAACTCTTCCTTGTGATACACAAGTTAATTACACACAGCAGGTATATGAAAAGGTATTGCTAAACACAGGTTCAGATACCACTTGCCTTCTTGGTAAAGTAAAACATGTCAGCAGTGCTGTGGCTCAGCTGAAAACATGATCTTGTCAGATTTACGTGCAGTAATGACTGAAATACAAGCCTGGGATGGAATGAGAATGCATATATCTTACCTGCTTAGCAAATCTCCTTATTAATTCCCTCTTAGTAAGTGCTTTTCTAGGATTTGAGTTTGTTCCCACACTCCAGTGTCCTAAGCCAATTTTAGTTATCTAAATACTGACAGATTTGTAAATGTGCATTTGTAAGCATAGTTATTAGAAAGTAAAATCCATTGAATTAGCTGAGTCTTTAGTTAATATATTTAGAATTGGGCTATGTATAAATTTTTTGTATTGGCTTGCAAAGCATTTGTATTTTGTTCCCATCCTGTACCAAAGACTCAGGAGTCAATGACAATATATTCTGATTTCATTTAATCCTCACAGCAACACTGAGAGGCAGATAGAACCAAGGGATAACAATTTGCCAAGATCATGTCAGTAAGCTGCATAGAGGAATAGGAGTTTTAGCCTGGCCTCTCCCATCCAAACCCAACATTTGGAACACTGGTTCTGAATAAGCTCTCATTAGTTTTGAATTTTCACACTAGATAGTTTACTTTCTCCGTGGAACTGGCTAATAAACTGAGAAATTCAAATGCATCAATCCCTCATGCCATATGCTGTGAGTAGATCACAGTGTTTTATTTGAAGACTAGCCTGCTACCTGTGCTTCGCTACAGTATTTAAGTTCCATAAATCCAGTTATAATACTGATGTTGTGAAATTTGAAATGTGACATTTGTTGTAGTGTAAGAAATGAATGAGACATACACACTTTTTCTTCTCTACTGAAGGACTTCTCTCTAGACCACATTGGTGGTTCTGCCCTCAGGTGCTAGGATGACCAGGCTGCTCAATGAGCTCACTCTGGAGCAGGCCACATAAAACTGTCCATTTAAGAAGCAGTCGTCTGTTAAGTGAACTCCTGCCACCTTCCACGAAAGTGATGGCCTCTCTACTTGTATTCCTGGATTGTTTTGCTCATATGGAGACTGTGTTGTTCTGAGCACCTCCGAGTGATCTCACTGGTACTTGGCCTGCGCAGCTCAGTGCCCTGCAGGAGTCCTATGTGCAAATGTCTTTGCCGCATTCCTAAGTTGCCTCCTCCTTGTAGTGTTGGTGTATCTGGCTCAACATTTGCCAGGAGCTTTCTTGGGGGCAGTAAGAGGTGAAAGGTGTGAGGGGGAGTTGGTGTGAGGGAGTGGTGATGTGGTGGATATTTCTTCAGGTTCATGAGGGAGGCACGCATCAAAATGGCTCCTAGAAATGTCCTTTATTATCTCCCCATAAACATTCATAACCTGGCCCTGCTCCTACACCAGCCTGTCTGGTGTTGGGTGTGTGTGTGTTGTATTTAAAGGAATCGGGGAGGCTGGGCCAGTGCTAAGGCAATCCTGCTGAGCAAACCTCCCCGAGGGCTGTAAGCATCCCACCTCCTCTCCTACACCTGACAGGCAGCTGCCTGTCCAGTGTAGGACAGGGAGGGGGGAGGAGTATTAGAAGCCCAAGTGGAGGCAGGGCTAGCAGGCTCACTAAAGCATTACTGCTGAAGCAGGCTCCCTTGTGACTTTAAGCACCCTGCAACCGCTGCTGCACCTGACTAGGTGATGACCTCTCTACTTGTGTTAGGTGTAGGAGACGGGGGGAGTGTGTTAGAAGCCATCCCACCTCCTCTCCTCCACCTGACAGGCAGCTGACTGTCCAGTGTAGGAGGCGGAGGGGGGAGGAGTATTAGAAGCCACTGTGGAGGTGGGGCTGCACCTGACAGACAACCGCCTGTTAGGTGTAGAAGGTGGGGGGAGTGTGTTGGAAGCCATCAGAGAGGCTGGGCCAGCAGCTTTGCTTCACCTCACAGGTGGTTCTTGGCCACTCCTGATTTCCTCAACTGTCATTAGCTCTCTGCAGTCCCCTAAACTCAGAGATTTACCTCAGAACACTGAGCTCTGCAGCTGACCAATCAGAGATTTGGGGGTGCAGAGAGGCAGCTGCCTGGCAGCCGCATAGGAATCAATAGGGAGAGCACATTTCCCCCCTTTTGACCCACTTAGGGGTCGAATTTCTAAAAATCCCTTCTTAGCAAGCACCTATGCCACGGTAGGCGTGCTCTCCCCAAATTTGGTGTCTCTAGGTCCAGCAGTTTGGCCAGGGTGTTGATTTTACGGTGAAGGAACTTTCGTGAGCAGTGACTCACGAAAGCGCTTACTCTGACACGTATTTTTTTAGTCTTTAGGTGCTACTGGACTCTTGCTCTTTTCTGCTGCTAACAGACTAACACAACTATCCATCTTGTTTTATCTAAGCAGCCTACTTAAACGTTCAAATGTTGAAGCCTGAGCAATTGTAAACTTGATGGCAGTGTCATTAAAATCACTCAGAGTTGAACTATAAGGCCAACATAGTATCTAAAAGATCTTACCCTATGCTCTGACCTATGTGTGTGCAAAGTCATCACACCAGCATTGCCCCACCTAGGACACAGGCATGCACATTATTTTGTGTTTATTTGGTTGGCCCTAATAAAAGATATTGCATGGCTTTGGGGGTTTGCATTTGTTTGTACCTAGGTGGTTACATGGAATCCATTTTATGGTTAACTGGTAGGGCTGCCAACTCCAGGTTGGGAAATTCCTGGAGATTTGGGGGGAGGGTAGAGCCCAGGAAGGGCAGAGTTTGGGGAGGGAAGGGAACTCAGCAGGGTACAAGCCAATTAATTTATTAATATAGTGTATGGGTAACACATTATCCATCAATGTGTGCATGTAGTCACAGTCTTTTTTTGTATTTGTGTGGGTGCACACACACACACCTGGAAGTCATGGCGACCTGTGGTGATTGGCCCCTACTGGGGGCATGGAGGATATTCAGAGAGGTGGCTGAATAAAGCCTGCCCATGCCTTTCGGCTCTGGTATTCCAAGGAGGTCTCCCATGTAAGTACTTACCTGAGTTGACCCTGCTTAGCTTCCAATATCTGACAAGATCGGGCTTGCCTGGGCTATTCAACTCAGGGCATGCAGGCACAATCTTTAAGCTTCTTTAATGAGGAAAGTGGGAAGATCTTCAGCCATGAAGGTCACTAGGCAAGCCCATAGCCAGGATTTTTTCATTCAGGGGGTCTTTAAATAAGTTGGGGAGCACCCCTCCCACACACCCCCAAGCGAGCAGCCCCGCTCCTGCCCTTTTCTTCAACCAGCCAGGCGTCCTTTTGGCAGGGGAGCCAAGGCTGCCAGGGCAGGAGAGTGGCAAGCCTGCCCGAGGAGGCTGCCTTTGTAGCCTGCCTACCACCGCCATGGTTCCTCTCCCCATTTCCACCCCGGCAGCTGCTTCTCCTTCTTGTCCTCCAGCCTTGGCTGAATTATGGGCAGGAAGAGCCGGAGCAAGGGTGCACACATCACCTCCACCAGCTCCCGCTTGCCTTTTGGCTGGCACGCCTGCCGCCAATAGTGGGGAGGTGAGAGAGCGCCATGAGATTGGAGGGCAGTGCAGAGCTTGCCTTCTTACCAGCTTGCCAGCGACAAAAGGGAGTGGTCACGGCCAGCAAGAGGGAGTGGCTGTGGCTGGCAATGAGCGCCATAAATAAAATAAAACATTGGAAGTCAGGTGGCCTGGGCTGGTTGGGACGTTGGGGGGCCTTGGTGGTAAGTTGGAGGCCAGGCTCTGAGAGGTCCCACTGTAGCTACAGGCCTGTTACTGGCTGATCCTTGTGTGAGTTATCCATGTCACTTACCTAACTTACCTCATACAGAACAAAATTTGAGTCCAGTGGCACCTTTAAGACCAACAAAATTTATTTCTGCATATAAGCTTTTGTGTGCAAGCACACAAGTGCTTATATGGTGCCACTGGACTCAAACTTTGTTCTTTTGTTCTAGACCAACACAGCTACCTACCTAAATATACCTTGTGAGCACCAAATGGAGGAAAGGACGACCACGTACAATACCCTGAGGAAGCATTGTGTATTAATGTATATGTTGTTGTTCAGTCGCACAGTCGAGTCCGACTCTTCGCGACCCCATGGACCAGATCACGCCAGGCCTTCCTGTCTTCCGCCGTCCTCTGATGTATATGTAATGTATAAATTTATATGTAAATTTATATGTATATGATGTATATGTAAATGTATAAATTTGTATTTTAAAAAAAATTGCCATCAAGTAACGGCTGACATGGCAACCTACAGGATTTTCAAAGCAAGAGATGTTCAGAGGTGGTTTGCCATTGCCTGCCTCTGCGTAGGGTTGCCAGGTGCCTACCTCGTGCCAGCAGGGGGATTTGGGGGGCATTCTGGGGGTGGGTGGGGACGTTGGTGGCACAATGTGACATCATCGCATCAGCAATATTGGGGTGACACACTACTTTTTGGGCAAAACTCTATGATATAGATGGCTACAAACCAAAGAGTTTTGCTCAAAAAGTAGAGCATCACCGCCGACATCCGCGACATGATGATATCTCTTCTGGAAGTGACACCATTGCATCGCCGACATCGCACAGGGGCATCTGTTAGGAGGTGGGCTTTCCCTCGCCAGCCAACTGGCCGGCAGTGGGCAGGAACCCACAAAAACGGGATTCCCCACCCCACCGGGGGACTGGCAAGCCTACCTCCACATCATGACACTGGTATTCCTTGAAGGTCTCCTGTCGAAATACTTGCCAGAACCAACCCTGTTAAGCTTCCAAGATCTAATGAGATTGGGCTAACCTAGGCTATCCAGGTCAGT